TATATATTTTACAAAATATATATTTTCCAAATATATATATTTTTTTACGAAATATATATTTTAGAATAGAACTTTGCTCAAGCATGAATTCAGACACATACAAAAGATATATGTTACAGCAATGACTGATCTCATACAAACCTAAACATACTTTTTAAAAAGTATATTTTGGAAACTAAAAACTCTGGTTCATTCGAAGTATCGGACAGATTTTTTGGCGACTAAAGCAAATTGTACAGTACGGCATAATGGGACAGACCAAACGAATCATCCCTAATTTTTTGTATATTATTTAGATAGAAAGATCGAACTGTTTGTCTATCATTTTAAAAAGTCTATCAAAGCAATCGATTTTTTTTCTAACAGGGTCTAATTAAACTATATTTAACCCAATTATCTTAATTTTTATCTAAACTATCAAATTTTGTGCGTTTAATTAAACTTACCGATAGCATTTAAAAAAAAATATTTTCTTTTGATTACGAACAAAATAATAAACACTTATGAGATATCTACACTTCAATAAAAGTAAATTCAACCTAAAGTCTGACCGCGTCAACCTTGTTGCACCGGCTAGTCCTATTGAGTGTCTGCTGGGCGATACAGTACAAACTGGACCGGAAAAGTTGACTCGGCACGGAAATTCAAATGTACTACGGCTGCCCGTGTGAACAATACGTTCGAACGACTTTTAAAGTTTTTATATAACGAACAAAATGTTATGATTTCTAGCTCGCTTTGGATGATGAGGCTAGGTACAGAGATGAGAAACATAAAAAACATGAGAAAAGAGAGAAAGATCAAATCCAGGTTGGTTTTATTTTATCTTAAATTAGACTTTAAGGGAACAGTGACCGAATTTAAAGAATTTGAGCGGCGGTTTAAATTTAAGCCGCGGTTTAAACATGGTTGGTTGCACTTAAAATTGTATCAAATGTTTCAAGATTTAAGCCGGCGCTTAATTTAAACCGGGTTTTGGCGGATTTAAACCGCGGCTCAAATTTTTTAAATTCCATCTCTGTAAGCGTAATCTCAAGTGACCCTAAATGCAAAGATGACAATTCCCGATTCACAACGGTACCCTTAATAGCTTTGTCTGATTAAGTATGAATTATAAGACATCAATGTTAATAATTATAAAATCTAATTAATTTTCAATTGTGTTTTCTCTACTAAACTGACAATTGCGCATTTCTACTTCATAAAAATATAAAGGAATTATTAGAAATATACAAGTTTAAACCAGAAAAACAACGATATTTTCCAACGTATTGATCAGATGAAGATTTTAAGGTCGGTATCGTTGTGAATCGGGCATTGCCATCTTTGTTGGAGGGTCACTTGAAATTACACCTACTGTTACTTTAAAAGATGGTTCGCGCATATTAATACATAAAATCTCCCATATTTGAAAATAGAATCCAATTAAACGACAACCTGTTTTTTCAAGTGTGTCCCGAGGGCCGGAAATTTGTGGATTTCAAAAAAATATTTGACTGTTTTAAAAAAAAACATGTGATTTTTTATGAAAAAATGTAGCGCCTTGGATAATTCTATAATCCAATCCAATTCTGGATTTCTATATGTATTTATTATATTTCTAGCGGTCTAAATCTGGATTTCTATATTTATTTATTATATTTCTAGCGGTCTAAATCTGGATTTATTTATTTCTTTATTAATTATATTTCTAGCGGTCTAAATCTGGATTTCTTTATTTCTTTATTTATTATATTTCTAGCGGTCTAAATCTGGATTGGGCTCCTTGCCTAATAAATACCCTACACTAGGTAACTATTAAACTAATATTTAATCTTTAAATGAAATTAAAATTCAGGATTTGTAATACAGCCTTAAAGGGGACATCAGCTCCAAAACTAATATTTAGCCCATTTCTAACACTGAGTGTTGGAATTGTCCACAATTAAAAGACTGGGTTTTTAGGATCCCAGCCAATATCCAGAGTAAAAGTCAATTGTAAAAACTATAACCAACATTTTATTAAGCATGACGAGGACAACAATTCCCAATTTAAAACTATTTTCTGAAATTAAATTATAAAAGGACCAATGTCGGGATTTCTATTTTCGAACATATCCTGAATCGGAATCATTGTCGCGTATTCAAGTTCTTAATTTTTCATTCTGAGAAATTTAATGAGATATACATTTGAAATTTTCTTTAGAGTAGGGAAAACCAAGACCACTTTTTGCTTACATTTTTCTAGAATTTCTTGAAAGGAAAACGCATCATCCATTTAAAAAAAATATTAATGAAAATTTCATTTTCGAAGGTTTTTCGTAATTTGGTATTCTAAAAATCATCTTTTAGAATACAATTTTCTTGAATTAGTGATTGGATAATTCTTGTTTTTCAGAATTTTTTTCCGATTTTGTGAAGTTGTCAAAAAATATCTAATTTTTGTTTTTGTTCTAGATCCAATCAGTAAACAGCATCGTTAGAAGAGATGAGTGAAAAAAATATTTTTATACAATTGACGAAATATTGAAAAAAAAATATTCAATTATAATAAAAATATATTTGCATTTTAAACATTCAAAGCACTGAACTAAATTTTGTGTCAACTTAACCTTAAACAGGCTGGGGGGAGAGTTTGATGCCCGCCTCTCAGGTTGTTTACCCTTGCACACTCTTATTTTTGACACTACACTGTTAGAAATGCCATTTTGTAAATTTTCAATATCATCATATTTCAGGCCAATACAACCAGTATATAGAAGACATTCATTGATATATCGTTTGAAATTTGATGTTTTCTGGTCAGAAAGATTTTACTTGAATTAGCCTAAACACTAGTTGATATAAGTAAAATTAGAATCACATCAAATTTTTAAATGAGAATTGAGAGAAAGCAATTTCAGTATTATTCAAGATACTTTAAATACATACATTATTGATCTCTATTAGAATTTACTTGAAGAGAGTCAAATTTTAATTGAAGTAAGCAGAATTCTGGTTAATGCAGAATCCAAGTAGTATTCTGATTGAATTGAGTGCCGGTACGTGTCTGAACGCCAGATCACTGTAATTAAAGTAAGCAGGATTATGCTTGCTTCGATTTCTGATGATTGAAGTAAGTAGAATTCAAGTGAATGTAATTAGAATTTAGCGTACAGGCCGTAAATTGATATCAAGCAGAATTATCGTTGATATATTACAACGGATCTTCATGGCTTGGTGCGTGAACTAAATACTGTTGATTGTAAGCGGGTTTTTCTAACAGTGTATCGCTATGACATTTTTTTACTTTTAATGAACAGGGTATGTTACAGGGCGGTAAAAAATCCAGTCCGTGTAAAAAAAAGAAATCTAAAATAGCCTTTTTTTGTGACTAAAGCTACAGATCTAAAAAGATCCTTGAAAAATTAATGTAGAAACAGATGTAATACTTTGACATTTGTGAAAAACAAATAATACATTTTTTTTTTTTTACCTTTTTTCAACCTTTTTTCAACCCTCCCTAGCATCCAAACAATTAAAATTATCGGCCTAATTTTTTTCAAAAGGTGGCCTTGAAAAATTTGTCTATGAACATGCATTTCAACTCTATACCTATTCTTTAAGGCCTTTTTTCTTGGGGGTGGGGGCGTGGGACGCCCCCGCCCCCAGGCTGTACATAAATTCAGACCCCCAGCCTTTAAAGGGTTAAAGTACTATCGACTTAATTTCAAGTAGTTGGATTTTTTGTGTTGAAAATCTCGAGATCAAGTATGTAAATAATTCTTCTTTGATATCCCGTGATGGTCATTCCCTACAGGGATAACTTTAATCTGATCATCAAAGTGCCCTCAGTGGATATCAAGATCTAACGTTCAAGATTAAGGATACGTCAAATTTCCGATTTCCTTTTTAATAGTTTCATGTCCTATTCCCAGCTACCCTGTATCTAAAAGCTTCGTCTGAACAAAAATGACAGGTTTTTTACTTAAAATTGATAAATCTTCTTTTTTTGAGACAGAACTAAAAGTGTCTTTGAATAGAAAAAATTTCTCTTCTTCATTGTTAATTGTCAGATAAGAGTGGAAATGGTACCATTGTGAATAGAACATTACACTCTTAGACGCTTGAAATTGGCAGTCTCTTTTACAACCTTAAGATTTATATGTTGTCTTGACTACAGTGGTAACCAAAAACAGTGGAATAGAAAGACGACATTATATCAATACTTAAGCGTATTGACGTTGTTACAAATAAAAATATTTTTACCAGTAACTTAACAAAGCACAATTTAATTACACTCTACAATTGCTATTATGTCTAATGTTCTTTAAACTAGTATTAGTCCTAACTTGAGTTTAAAAATCGTCTTTTTATTCAGAGTTTTCTGGTTTATCACTGAATATAAAAACAAATCTAATTGTGTTCCTTCAATAATTAATGTTTTGTTAAACCCTGTGTAATTCCATCGTAAAAGATCAAATACATTCTTCGCTTAGAAGTTTTACTAAAGTTAGATTAGAAACCTGGGATATTAGTTCAGATAGAGGGAGACACATGAAGAGCCAAGCTGCTATCAACATTTTTAATTCTTAACTGAGACTTACTTTAGGGTCGCAACTATTTGGGCTTTTATTTTACTCCACATAACTTACTTATGTTTTTTTGAAGCTATAGTGATGTGCACTTCAAAACTTTGATAAAGAAAGCTTTATTTTTTTTAAGTAATTAGCAAATTCTCATCAATTTTAGCATGGAAGCTTACAACCTTTGACAAATAAAGAAACTCCTGGTAGTGAGTTGTCAAGACAACTCTGGTAGTGAGTTGTCAAAACAACTCTAGTAGTGAGTTGTCAAGACAACTCTGGTTGTGAGTTGTCAAGAAAACTCTTGTAGTGAGTTGTCAAGACAACTCTGGTAGTGAGTTGTCAAGACAACTCTGGTAGTGAGTTGTCAAGACAACTCTGGTTGTGAGTTGTCAAGACATCTCTAATAGTGAGTTGTCAAGACAACTCTGGTTGTGAGTTGAGTTGTCAAATTTGTAAACAGTCTCGGCTTTAGTCGCAATTCCGTGGCCGTCACCAACTAAATTATACATTTTTGTAGACCTAGACAAATAAATTTAAAAATTGCAACCCGCTTGTTTCCAGCTTTTGTTTAAATTTCGTGATTTGATATATTGCTTGAATCGACTTGCGCATTTCTGTTTCCACAACGATAGAGGAAATCATCAGAATTATATAGAATGAAAATTTAATTTGGTTAATAAATATTATATTAGGTCAACTTGCCGTAGATTAACTTATCTCTCATCGGTCAAACTAATGAACTTAAAAGTTTTCAGCACTATATGTAAACATCATGTACGGAGAAACTGTAGTAACTAATGTTAAAACTTTTTGCATAATTACTTCAACAAATTTCTTCTTATTGTTTCGAACAAGATTGTCCCGTAAATATGTAAATCCAAATAGCTTTTTTTCTTAAACAATCTACATGATAAAACATGACATTTGTATACACGTTCCCTATAGTCGGCCAAATGGCTAAACCGAATGGGCTGACATTTTTTGAGGGAACTCATGTGTAAAATAGACTAATTTTTTTTTTTATTCCACGGGCGACGCTGGACACTTCAGCTAATAAGTAATAAGTCAAGGTAACACATTGAAATGGAAACTCTTTGTTATGGGATTTTCAAAATGTGGTCTGCTTCTTAAAGAAACAAATATACTTGTTTATATTTCATTTTATTTAAAAACATTAAGTTAACTAAAATTAAGTTAAAATATAACATTTTTTTTATTTTGAAATTGGAGAGCTTATACAATGTTTTGTTTTTGTGGTTATTATTAAATTACAATTAATTAAAAATCAGAGACAAAATAAATTTCGTTAGTAATTAATTCTCTATGTTTATTGAGACAACAGAACACCGTAAATACAGCGAATGTAGAATTAAGAAAAAATTTAAAATATTTGTTTATGGAAACCCCTGAATATAAAATGCGGTAATCATTATCATTAATCGTAAATACCCCCCCCCCCCCCCCTCGTCAGTATTACCTAATGTATTGGCATTACTTGTATTGTATTTACGTATTTATTCAGAGATACATTAGATTAGATTAGTATATACTCAGACTGTTCACCAGACAATATATTGTTACTTTACAATGGTTGTATACACGGAAAAAAGTTAAGACTTGATACTAGCTGAAGTGATCGCATTGCTCTTGGTATTAAAAAATTTGAAAAAATCGAATTTTGGAGAGATAAAAATTATCTTGAAAATTTAACTAATATAAATATATATATTTATAAATGTAATATATGTATATAATATATATGATGCGAAACGCTTTATTAATTAGATGTAAAATAGAATTTTTCGAGAAATCTAACCTAGATCCAGGTTTAATATGGTTTTAAATAGACAGCGAGACATGAGCTAGGCACTTTTGTGTTAGATACCAGGTACTGATCGTTTGAACACAATGTCCACCAATGATCCAGAAGATAGTTGAGCGCCCATACGAAAAATTGTAGCTTTATTTTAACCAGATGTAGCCGTAAGTCAGACCACGTCAACCTAGGTTCTCCTTCTATACCTGCCCATATTGCAGTTGGTGAATTCCAGGCTAGGCAGTACAAACTAAGACCAGAAATCCCATAAAGGTGGGTCCAGCTCAGATGCAAATGTACATGAGTTGAGTGTGCACAGAGCCGCTGAACTTTTGTTTGCTGTTCTGCTTAAATTTCTCAACTGTAACGATATTACAAAAAACTTTGAAAATACATTCATTTGGATAGAATGTACGCATTTTTATTATATATTTATAAGAATATTTGAGAAAATGAACAAAAGTTTTAAATTTGTGAGACATCATAAATTTTGAAATGCTACTTGGCTATTTGAAATGGAAATAAATAGAAAATTAACGTTTTAAAACGATTAACAACCCTATCCGCGCAACCACCTATACAGGGCAGGCAGTCGCCAAAAAGAATTTTAAATATCAAACTTTATCTTGTGCTCAACAATCTTACACTGTACAAGCGTCTAATAGGTCTCAAATTAATCCTTAAAAAATGCTCTACTATAATACTACACTCACAGATCTACTTCCATGTGTACGCGAACACTACGTTAAATAAATTCTGTAAAATAAATACAAGTTCATGTAAGTTATCAGAGTGACAGGGAAAACACTAAAGTCAATGAAGTAAAAGGCTCTGGGCTCTTCTAACAAAATAAATGTATTGGAAATAATGGAAAAACATAAAAAAGAAAAAATCCGGAGTTTTTTCTTCAATTTATAACATTAAGCTTTTCTACAGTGATAACAAGAAAACTGTAGAATAGGAAGACGACATTTATTAAATCACATTGTAAGTGAAATGGGTCTATTAACATTGCATAGTTGATGTGTCTCATGCTCATTGTGCTTTTTATATACTTTTATATACTTTTTATATACTTTTTATATACTTTTATATAATTTTTAGGGGGGAGGCAGGGACAGTATAAGTGTGTATACTGTATATCCAACTAAAAAACTTTAATGGTTGGGGTCCAGGAACGGATTCCTAGAAGCCTTGCATCAGAATGGGGTTTCTTTAGAGCAAAAATTTGGCATCTTGTTTTTCGTAAAAAATATCATAGATTTAACGATAAAATAAGGTTTTAAATTTTTAAAAGCTAAATCAATATTTGTGTACCATTATTTATAAATAGCTTTGAAACCTGAGATCTGCCAACATTGAAAAATCTTATCATCAGTCAATGGAAACTGTTAAACTATTCCCAAATATTTAACACTTAACCCTCTTCCAACTAGGGGGGGTGGGGTCATAATATGACCCCCCCCCATTTTTTGTTTTTAACGAAAACTCGAAAATCATTTGAGCTAAAAGCTAAAATTTTCTGGTTTTTGTAGGCATACTGATTAAATGGCTTATTTTACATTAAATATATAAATGGACCTCTCTTTTAACATTCTTTTAGCAAATTTAAAAACTTTAAAAATCTAATTTTCTGAAATGGTGAAACTTGATATTTTTCCAGCAATTAGAAGTAAAGTATAGAATCTAAATGGCCCTTAATTTGAAGATGTCCAGGCCCAATCCCAAATACACCTTTGTGTGGGAAAAAAAACAATTTTTTCTTATTAATCCGATCAGGTAGTAAGGAGAGCCACTGTCAACCAGGAATGCACTGCTTTAAATTATTCACGATTAAAGGGACTGTAAGCGTAATTTCAAGCGACCGCCAATGCAAAGATGGCAAAGTCTGATTAACAACGGTACGCATGAAACCTGTATCTATTCAACTGTGTGAAAGATATTTTCGTTTTTCTGGGTTTTACAATATTTAATTCAGATAATTCAAATATTTCTTCCCACAGTAGAAATGTAGAAATGCGGAGAGTCACTTATGTAGCGAAATCGCATTTGAATATTTTTTCAAAATTATAAACATTGAAATCTAATTCATATCATTCACAGCTTTTTTAAGGCAGGGTACGGTTGTGATTCGGGCATTGTCATCTTTGCATGAAGCTTTACTTAAAATTACACTCACAGTCCCTTGAACAGTTAACTGTCCTTATATGGCAGGTTAGCCTATGGAACGGTTTAAGATGACTTTAACGGCTGAGAAATAAAAGTTTTACAATTTGGATTTAAGGTTTAACTTTTATACCTTCAGTCAAACACTTCCAGTAGAGACTTTATTTTTATTAATTATCAAATTGTTTGATTTAAAAACAAAAAGTTAAATAAAATTTTTAAAAACGATTTAAAGAAAAAATTCTCTAGTAAATCAAAAAATACTGGATTTCATTTATAGCGGTAATGGGGTTTTAACTTCAAAGGAACTGCAGTTGACATAATTTGATTCGAACAATTTAGTTATCATTCATTCTCTAAAATTACGTCCACAGATATTGGAACTTTTGTATTTACAATTTGTACGATTGACCTTGATATTCAATGTTATTTAAAAATTTTAGGACCAAACATCCCTTAATTAAAGTGATCCCTGCTGGGTATGATCATTACGGGATATCAAGGAATAAAATGAATCTGAAGATCTGCTTAGGGTTGGGATTAATGTTTTATCCTGAAATTGCACAATTCAAAAATTCTGATTTCAGAGGTTCAGTTTCTTGATGGAAAAAAACATTTAATGTGATAGCTAGTGGTGGATTTCTGGTAGATTTCTGGTGGATTTCTGGTGGATTTCTGGTGGATTTCTGGTGGATATCTGGTAAAAGTAAAGGATTAAAATAAATGTTGAGGTTCGAAGAAGTAAACTGAGAATTTATGAGTTTACTTTCTAAGTGGTTCCAGCTTTTCTCAATGTAAACCTTAACAAATACAGGGTGTGTCAATAAACATGGAAATTTGAAGAGGACCAGAGCCCGCGATTTAAAAGATTTGAAAATATAAGACTCAGGTCTAAGGTGCCATTGAGACTAATTTAAGACTCACGCT